GGGGGGGGGGAGACAATAACCAAACATGAAAATGGAGATACATATAAAGTGTGGTGCAAAAATAAAGATGGTGAGTCGGTCCATAACGTTAAAAACCATTAAAAATTTTAATGAACCCAGTACTTGGAGAAAGCCCATTCACAGCAGTTTCATTGTCATTAAAATGTGATGAAAATTCAAAAGAAAATGATAAACATGTCAAGATTTCTTTCAGATATAAAGGGAAAAAAAAATAATCCCAAAATGATCAAAGAATCAGATAGGATATCAGTTGAACTTAAACTAAACATTTTTGAAAGTGACTCTACAATGAGACCATAATGATGATGACAAGATATTTCAGCAATATTATAATTTAATCTTTGTAACATCGAAACAAAATTATCGAAAAAGTTATAATATAAGCTCACATCAACACAATCTTGATCATAAAGGCACGGGCTACTACCACCCTGACTGTCAAGGCTAACTCAGGCGGTGCAGGACATTACATTCCAGCAAAAAGACAGAGAACTCAGTAAAATATCTCCCTCAAGCAGGAATCGAAATCATGACTTTGGCATGCAAGGAGAAGAGCCTAAGTATTACACCACTGATGCCCACAGACAATCTCATTTTCCTTCCAAAGCAATATTCCATATAATAATTGACATTTATTTAAACATATTAAAATTACCAGCTTTCCTTTTAGTAACAGTTTTACAGCACTTGCATAACGCAATTAGGTCATATAAGTTATAAGTGGTGTAGATTAGAAGAGCTATACAAGAGAGTGACAAACACAAAAAAGAACAAGGAGAGATAAGGACGATAGATGTTTGATAAGAAAGAAGGAGCAAACAACATCAGAGCATTTGCCAACCACAGACTAAAGTTGCCATGAAATGTTTATTATTACACCTTTTCAACATTTATTGTCACAATCCAGCAGCTCTGGGTCCCTGCTCTTCGGTCAAATGCCATGATAAAGAAACTTGAAGATTTTATGAGTTGTTAAGTTGTTCTTTATCGCAATAAAGCCAGTCATATTGGTCAGTGTAGTTGAAAAAAAGTCTTATCGATTTTTTTTATTTAAAAAATTGCATATTAAGGCACAAGAGAGTCAGGAAATACGGACCTCAATATCATAAGTTGACAAAAAACGGCAACCACCAAAGCTTAGAATGAAAGAAAACAGCAATGAATGGACTTTCACCTGAACTTAACTAGCCGGTAGTATTGAGTATTCATCCTTTCAAAACAAAAACCTTTTCACTTAACTATGTTTTGAAAGAATATTTGCTTAGAGAACTTGAAACAATAATACTGACATTTCCTATTTCTACACAAATTTGTATTTCATCAGTTGTCCCCGAGTGAGCATTTGCGTTTTCTCTTGATTTAAAAAATGTTTATATAACATTATCTGAAATCCCTGGGTCATACCTGCCAACCACTTTTTGAACTAAAATAGGTTTTCCACAGAATCCTACTAAAAACTTTGATTTTGGGGAAAAAATCTGAGTTTCCAGAATCCTTGTGGATTAACCATGGCAAATCAAGGTGAAATGAAAATACACGCAAATAAAAATGTGTATTTTTACATCATTTAATACCATCATGCAAATGAACATAGATATTTTCCACTTCATTTGCAATATCACACAAAAATATTGCAAATAAACCTGTGTATTTTCACGTCATGTACAAGGCGTTGCAAATGACCCATGGAAACAGAATCTAAGAAATAAAAAATCAGACTTCATGCAAAGTCCATCACAGTTCTTCTTCGATGAGGGGGGGGGGGGGGAATCGGAGAGCTCCATTTTATCAGAGTACTTGGCAGGTATGCTGTGTAATCCACAAAAATGACAAAATATCGTCTGAGGCAACCTATATTTCCTACTAAAATAGACCAAAGATAAGGACTTCAGGATTCTCTGGCGTACATTTTTTTCATGCTGTAAGACTGCTCAAATTAAAATGAAAACTCCCCACCAAATTACATATATATTTCTTTTGACAAGTGTTTTACGGTGCTCGCAACTACACTACGTCATGTGAGCGCACAGGACACATTTCAGTTTGGTAAGAATTCATAATTATCTTAACATCAGTAGACTCATTCAAAGTTAGATAGTCACGAATCGATTTTAAAAAAGGAAGGGTGACCTCATATTACCACCAACATCATTGACAACCCTCATGAGGAAAGCCTATTAATAACACAACCAACCAAGCTGACACTCATAAAGCATAATTTCAAAAGCATAATATAAACCCAAAGCTGTGCACTAATATATCAATCAAACTCTTGAATCATCTAGTGTACATGTTTATTCATAAACCTGATCACAATGCTACATCTTCACAGCAATTTTACAAAGATTTCAACCCAGTTTCAGTATTTCAGCTACACTAATGAAGCCTATTATGAAGATCAACCTTCATATTTCGTTATCCTGATTTCAGAGTTAGGAACTCTTTTACACTTCATATGCAGTTTAATAAACTTTAATCCCTTTCATACATACTCTCCTCAGATTGTATGGCACTAAATTAATATTAATTTATATCAATTATATAATCACCTACTGATAGTAACAACAAACAAGAGCTAACTTTTCAAGATGTAAACAAGGTATGGCTCAAGAAAAGAATAATATGATTATTTCGCCTTCAAGTTCACCACACATAAGGCAACAATATCAATACAATAAAAGTAATAACTAAATGTATTATCATTATCATCCTCATTATCATTATGATTGTCACCATTATCACTATCGTCATTATCATTCTCATCATTAACATCATTTTTATTACAGTAACCACTACTTTTAATGTTACTATTATTATCACTCAATACAATCGTCAAACAATTTGTTAATCAATGAAAAGTACAGATCATCGCAAGATAACAGTCAGTGCACACGGAAAGCTGCATCATACAAAAGAAACAGGAAAGAAGGAAAGAAATATGCACCATCCCCTCAAAGAACATGCAACAAGCTCCAGCCCATGCTTAACACTACAGTTCTTCATTCCAGATATCAGCAGAGTAATTAATGGAGCAAGAAGGGAAATTCAGATTGTGTGTAAAAATAGTCAATAAGTTGTTTTTTTTCGTCAATACCAAAGACCAAAAAGAAAGAAAAAAATGAAAAACAAAACAGATTGCCATAAACAGTGTCAAAACAAGAGAACCATCAGAATGATTCATGTATGAAGAACAGAAGGGGCCGTCAAGCATCAGACTACCTTATATGCTTTATTGACTGTGTCCTGCGGAGGATAAACACATTAGGAGAATCACAAACAGCACGCAGATATCACACATCACTGGGGGAACAGCTCAGAGACCATCGATAACGGTCAAGGAATAACACTGTTGAGGTATCTAAACTGAGATGGGTTGTTGTGTGCAGCGCGTTAGGGTGATAGCATTCACATGTCACCCCACTGCTGCAGTTTACAGCACAGTCAGGACAACAGGCAGACATGTTTTGATGGGAAGATATAAAGGTAACCGGAAAAAAACCACACAAAAAACAGATCAGACTTGGGACTTCAATGCCCACCTGCCCATCACATGACACCTAGATGTACTTGCATTTCCAAAACAACTGGGCTGCCAGTAAAAAATTAAATAAAATAATGGAAGGACATGAACTGCCTTATAAAAGCAAAATATCTAGAACTGTCCAGTTTCTGATCTTTGAAAATACTGCACAAATCTGGTCACCAAGACACAAGACAAAATTCAAGAGTCAGGTATACTTCCACATAGATCTCAGTGGTACGGTCACATTACATTACAATAAACACAATGACTTGTTAAAGACAAACCAAGATTGTCAAGATGACTGCACAGTGGACATAAACGTGAAGAGACAAGGGTGTACAGTTATAACTTCTGACCATGCTAGGGGGGGGGGGGGGGGGAGAGAAGGAGGCCTGACTCGCTATCAGGCTCCCGAGAAGAACCACCCACCAGGCTAGGCTGTGGTAGCAGAACTACAAGAATATAGAAGCAAATCACAATCTTACTTTTAAACATCCTTTTCATGATCTAACTGAGAAAAAGCAATCTTTTCATATGTCAAGAATACTATTTCCAGGTATGAGATATTCAAAGATAATACGGATATGATCCATTACACACCTCTAAGCTGTTAGTAATGCAAAGCAATATGATTTTAGGAGAGAAACCAGGAAAGGCTTGTTAGTATGCAAGTTAAAGAACTTTAACCAATTGTGCATATATCTATGCAGACTTTTTAGCCTGGTTATCACTCACATTATTCGCAGACTCTTACAGTAACAGTAAAAGCATGATCAGTAATTTTATTAATATCTCATTTTAAGTATTACAAAAGTGAAAAAGATGAATCATTTAGACAGAAAGAAAAGCCTAACTAAATGTTCCACTAAATACAAAAAGATGTTCAAACACACAAAAAGAAGTAAGAACTTCATCCTTTTACAGGAATACTCTCACCATGATCAAGAACCACTTGCAGGAGGGTGGAACACATTCACTCACAGCACAAAAAAAAGAAAGAAAAAAAAAATTATATTAATACAAACAGAGACACATCACACCACAAAGACCATCACTATATTTCATAGACATAAACAATCCAGCTTCAATGGCTGCACTAGATTGTGAAAGGTTTTCCTCTACAGTCAAACAAACAATACAAGAATACGTGGAATACGTCAGTCGGCCTAACACTAATCAACACACTCATACCTTATTCGCATCCATATCTTCAGAAGATAAAGTGCCAGCCTCTTCACGAAGTACATAACTCTGAATGATCCTGAAAACGAAAATGTTCCCTTTATCAATTATAATTTCACTTAAATGCTATATCAACGCACTTTACTTTTTTCTTTTCCAATCTAGCGGCTATCTAGTTTGAGCCCTGTCAACGGTTTACTTTTCTGAAAACTAGAAACAAAAACAACTTCTTATTGATATCTTTTTGTTTTCCATTCATCCAATCGCCAACAAAAATCTCCCCAAACTTCCTCCATTTCCCCAACTTTTATTTGAGTTCCGTCAAACATTTGAAGAGTGAAAGAAATCTTTTACGTTTCTAAACATTTCATAACTCACTTATCCCCCATAGGCCCACATACGGGAGAAGTGTGCAAATACAAGGTTCACAAGCTAAATCCACCAAAAACGACAAATTTAACCCTTTGACTCTCAATGGATTTATTTTGTTTATTAATATCCTGTGTCATGTTTAAGAAAATGTGAACTGGGTAGACTAATTAAACTGACCATGAGAAAATTTTGAAGCAATCGAAAACTACAATGCTCATGAGCTAAAAGGATATCTATCATATTTCTACTGTCTAATGGGTTCTAGATATATTTAAAAAGAACAAATATGTCAATGAAAGACACAAGCTTCACATTCCAAATGGAACTCTAGCCTGGGACAGTCAACCAGAATCGGACCCACTTGTTCTTCCGTTTGATCTCTTCCAGCAGCTGCTGTATATGTTCACCCAGGAATTCCAGCTTCTCATTCTTGCGAGCGTGTGACTTCTGCAGCCGCACGATTCTTTCGATGAGCACCTGCTTGTCCACTTCCACCTGCTCCGTGATCACAGGGAACTCCTGCACAGATAACGCACAGAACACTCAACATTAGATTGTTTTGTTAATATGAGTGATGAGAAGCAAATGGACACAATAACTCATTCAGAGCTAGGGAAATGTTTTAGTTTTAGTTAGAGTTTTACGGCACTTGCAACACAATAAGGTCATATAAGTGCCGAAGATTAGAGATGTTACAAGAGAGTAACAAACATAAAAAAGGAGGAGAGATCAGGATGATACATGTTAGATAAGAAAGAAGGAGCAAACCACACCAGAGCACCCGCCAACCACCCACAGGAAAAAGTTTCACAAACATACAACAGAGTAAAAGCAGAGAAATAGAACCTACCAGAGCCCCCCTCCAACCACTCACTTTGAGTTAGTAAATCTTGAGCAGATGTTCGCTGGGTTCACAATACCATACTATTCAAAGTGAGAAGGCAGAGAAAGAGAGAGCTGGTTTGAAGTATACTGCACATTTACATGACAATTGCTACAAATTATTTGACAAAGGAAATGTAGAAAGACCACATCACATTGCAGCACTCTTCAAACATCCACAGTAATTTTTTAAACGTTTTTTCTTCATCACAAAAACCAAACTATACACTATAGTTATAATAGTACAAACAAGATGTGGTCACACAGCACTAGTAAATATCCCAGGACCAGCATCCCTTCCCATCCCTTCTATAACACACCCAGATTATTATCTTCTCAAACTACAAAGGACAATGCAAAGATACAAAAATTATGAGAAGAACCACCACAATTTACTTGGTATGATGCATAGACTATCAACTAACAAGTTACAAAAGATAACAGCTTTCGAAATTAAATGTTCTTGAAGAACTCTCAGAATATCATGGAGACAAAAAATAAAGAATGAAGAAATTCGTTAAAGAATAGGCACAGAAACACTAATATTCCTCCAAAAAACAATTAAACTGAAACTGAACTGCTTTAGGTATATCAAACGCCAAGATTCACATGGGAAACAAATTCTGGAAACAAAGGTGGAAGGAAAGAGAAGAAGGGGGAGACCTTTCAGAAGATGGGAACAAGACATAGAAATCTGGCTTGGAACCAAAACAATTCAAGCTGGCAAAATAGCAACAGAGTGTTTTATTGCAGAAAGGTCCCAAAATCAAAGTCCAGCTATTGTAAAAAAAAACACACAGAACATAGCTTTACCTGTACCGAGGGCTGCGGCGGTGGGTGTGGAGCCTGGGAGTTGACAGCATCAATGGAGTTGAGGCTCCCGTTGGAGTTGGTGCGAGAGCCCATACTGCCCGCGTCGCCTTTGCCTTCCATAGCCTCCAGTTTCCTCCTCACTTGTTGCAACTGCCGCGTCAGGTCCTGATGAAACCAAAGCTTGAGTCTGAGAAAGCTAAGCTTACTGACATCATGATTGCCACTTAGTGCACAGAAAAAGCAAGAAAGACAGACAGAAAAAAAACAGGGAATTGAAAACAAAGTATGGCCGCCTCTCAAGGGAGGCTTCAAACCATCCAATTCCATAACGTCATGACCCTAAATTCAATATCATCTTTGGAATACTGACGGGAATGAGAATTTATCGATAGACAAGAGTATAATCTTGATTTTCCCACAGACATAAAAGCAAGACAAAACATTTATGAATCAGTACAAGAGATCAGCCAACAATCATGGCTTAGCATACTCTCTGTAAGTCAAAAACTGTTGGGAAGATGCTAGAGGTAGAGTTGCGTATGAGAAGTAAGAAAAATGAGCCGACCTTGACATTGTTGGCATGTCTCCTCTTGAGGGTCTTGCTACTGTCCACTTCATCCTCCCATTTCTGTTTGAAATCACTACCTGAAGATAAACAAAATAATCGCACACTTAACATACAAGTACAGCCCTTTACTTCATCCCTATCCAGTATGCTAATACAAAATTACAAATTTTAAAAAAAGGGACTAGTTTCTTTAAGTTTGTTAGAATATATTTGAAAAATAAACAATAGGTACGAGCGCAATAACAGACATTCTTTCTGTATTTCTGCAAGTCTCCAATAGAAAATAAAAAATTAAATCCAAATCCAAATTCCTAGCATCCTTTTCGGTCGAATTCAATTAAATAACTTTAAGCGGTACCATCATAACAAAAATAGTCAGACTTGGAAGGCACATGTACAAGGGAAGAAAAAGGACAAAGGGTAAAGATGGCAATGTTGGAAGGAAGGAAAGAAGGTAGAAGAAGTATGCAAAATTACAATGGCTAACCTCAACCATGATATAGTATTCATAAAGAAAAAAAGAGTGGCAATAGAAAATAAGATCATTTACTTTCTTTACTCCTTTCTGAGAGAGCTGCAGTCAATTTGTCAATTTCTTCCTTTCTTTTCATCTTTTCCTCCTCATACTTATCACTCTGGAAAAGAAATATGCATTGTTTGAGACACTCTTCATAATAAGCACTCTGTGACATAAAACATACACTAATTAGCATTAGTTTAAATATCTTTTTTCAACTTAACACACACACCCACACACATGGAATATCTCATTCAGGTCATTTATATATCCTGTAAACACATATAACCATATAATGCACACATATCCATTTTCAAAGTGTAAATCATAAACAAACAAAAACAAGATTTTACAATAGCAAATCCCATTCAAAGACACATTTTCATTGGTAAACAAAAATGTGATGTGCAGAAAAGTGAACAAGTCAAAAGACAGACAGCATAACAGCAAAGAAATTAAATGAGCTCAGTAAGGGGTAACTAAAAACACTTAACTCTTTTTATCCGGGCTACGAGTATACTCGTAACGCCGACCAGTCCGGGCTACGAGTATTCTCGGAGCAGTGATACGGTCACGTCAAAGAAGCTACTTTTGCTTGTAATTACCAAAATACGCAAATACGGCGATGCTAGCTCTGTCTGAATATTTTAATTTTTCAATGAACAGTGGTTTCTTTGTTTTTGATGGGTGTAGAAGCTTGAAAGATGTCTCGAAAACGCACATTCACGACCGACGAAGTACTTTTTGAAGTCGCGCTGGGTTGTGAGGGGAATGGTACTAATTTGATGAAAAAGACTCTGAAATGAGTGCCGTAAATCCCGTTGTGGATGATAAGAAACAGGACTTAGACTCATCTAATAGCGATTCAGATCATGGTGAAGGGGTCAGTACTGGAATTCGTGCTCGATGGGTAGGGCTAGATCTAGATTCTAGATCTCTATAAAATCCAATGGGACGTCGTGGGCACGGCAATCAGGGTCAAGTTCGAGGGTGGAATACACCTGAAAATCTACATTGTGCTATTTGTGTAATTCCTAACCTCGTACATTTATAAAAACTACATTCAATTTCTAACATAAATGCCAAATTTCCTTAAAATCTTAGAGTAAATGTAAGAAATACAGCACTTTGAACTATATGCACTGACTTCCGACTCATACGGCGCGGCGGCCCCAGGACTGGTACAGAGTTTGTGGGGGTACGGCTAGGATAAAAAGAGTTAACACATAAGAACAAGAAAAAATAATATATTACAAGCAAAACAAAATCTTACCAGATCTTTCACAGTTGTCTCTAGTTCTTGTATTTCCATTTTCAGCTTCTCAACTTCACCAGTCAAAGTCGATGCCTTGAAGAAAAGATGATGTTTTTAAAACCCGTTATGCTTTACCAAACAGCAACATCTAATATCTCTACAAAACACAATAGATACTTTATTCTAAAAAAAACAAAAGAAAACTAACACCACCAACCCCTCTCCCCCCCCAAGACGTAGATGAGCAGTAAAAAAACAGACAATAGATATCAAACGCGCTCCCTTTAAAGTCTGTTCTACTTGCACTTTATTTCAAAATGACCCCTCGCCATTCTATTCGGATAAGTCAGGATACAGGCTTTTCTTCCTTCTCAAAGATCTTAAAGGATAATTGCAGTAATGAGGAAACTAAGCCTTTTTTTTTAAACTTTTGAAATATGCTTATCTTGCACAGCGAAAGTGTTAGTTTGAGGTTTAAGTTTTAGTAACCAGAAACACATCAAAACAATTTAGGTCATGCGGCGCAGGAAAGAAGCAAGACAGACAGACAGAAACAACAGAGTAAAAAAAAAAAAGAATTAGGACCTACCAGAGACACCCACCCACTCTAAGGTGCTGTCAATGATATAATCAATTTAGAGACAGACAAGTAAGTCTTGTAAACTATTCGGGAACTGATCAATGCCATTTTCTCCCTCACTTTGTTGTTCAGACTGGTGTTCTCCGAGCGCAGCAGGGCATTCGTACGGCTAAGCTCCGACTGCAACGTCAGCATCTTTGATTCTCGCTCCCGGCACAGCTCCATGTCTTTCTGGAGGTCACGGTTTGACACCTTGAACTCTGCCACATCCTTGTCCAGACTTTTGATCATGTCTTGCGCCCTGAAACACAAGAGGAAAATATTTATTTCTGCTTGCACATACAACAACATTTTGTTGGACAAATTTGAACATTTGAGGAGAAAAAAAATCAACGAGAAAAAAAAGGGATGAGATAAAACATTTTCTTTTAAAAATAAGAATACACTTTATCTCTTTGAAGTTCTCAGCTTGAATAAATGCCATCCATGTAAAAATAGGATTTTTCATCATATACCAGTGAGCTATCCTTAATAACAACAACACAAAATGTAACTTTTTGAGTGAAAAATCACCAAGCTAAAATGAAACTTTTCAGAGCAAGACGACCTCTAACTTCAATTTCCAAAACTCAATTACAGCACACTTTGAAAACGAACAACTTTCAAACTTCCTTTTCTTTATTAAGTTCAGTGAAACATGAGCTTTGTGCTTGAACCTGGCAGATTCAAATTCAGACCAAAGAATCTCATAGTGATTACCTCATCATCAGTCTTTCTACTGCTACATAAAAAAAAACAATTATACTGGCCTTGCGCTTTTCTTCAAGTTAAATACTCTGCAGGTTCAGAATCTTGCCTCTCCAATCAGTCAATGCATCTCAAAAGACTTTAGCCCTGGATAACTTTTGCATACGATACTGACATAATAGAATCATATATTAGTAACTAATTAAAAATAAAACCTCCCTTGAACTTACTAACACTAAAAGTAAAATATGTTGTCCGTTTTCCTCTTTCAATGAATTATTAAGATAAAACTTGATAACAAAAAAGTCAAATTAATTTATTTTTTTTTCAAATTAAAAAAAAAGTGTGAAAAGACAAGCTGTCAACTGTCAATTTCGACCAGACCACTGAAGATATTAAAAAGAAGAAAAAACTGACCTGTCGTAATCTTCCTGTAGAGTAGACATTGACGTGACTTTGGCCTTGAGGTCCACATTGTCTCCCTTCTGTCTCTGCATGATCTCCTGGTAACGCTCGATCATCTGATGGTTCTGCTGGCGCTCCTCTTCCAGACAATGGACCTGCCAGTCACACAGGTACAGGCGATTGAACATTACAGTCACACATGTAAAGGCGATTGAGTATTACAGTCAAACAGGTACAGTGATTGAACATAAAAGGAACATATGTACAGACACAGTTAAACACAACATTCAATCATGTACAGGCACAGTAGAACATTACAGTCACACATGAGTTGAACATAACGAACATGTCAAAATGAGGACAAATATATTTCATGAAAATGAAGAAAAAATTGATAAATATAAATATACTCCGAGAGAATAAAAAAGAAAAGAAATTTCTTATGACAGAGAGAGCTGCATTGTGAATGGAAAAACTTCTAGATGTGAATGAAAGCATGTGAGAAACAGCACATAAATCACCTTGTCCTTGAGCGTTTTCGCCTCCTCCAATGTGTCCTTATGCTGACCTTTGAGAGAATCCAATTCCCGCTTCGTCATCTGATGAATCTGAGAGGTTAAAAAAGAAACAAATGATGCAAACACTTTATTCTAGTAAGCATTTTACAGAAATTGCAACACAATTAGGTCAGTTTAGTTTTAATAAGTGTTTTACTGCACTTGCAACACAATAAGGTCATATAAGTGCCGTAGATTAGAGGTCTTACAAGAGAATAACAAACACAAAAAAGAAGGAGGGCAGCTAAAGACGATAGACGTTTGATAGGAAAGAAGAACCACACCAGAGCACCTGCCAACCACACACTGGGTCATACAAGTGCCGAAGATTAGAGGTGTTACAAGAGAGTAACAAACAGAAAAGGAGGAGAGATAAGGGAGATTGATATGTTTGATAGAAAAGAATTAGCAAACCATATCAGAGCACCTGCCATCCACCCACGATACAAAACGTTCTCCCTAACTACAAGTCTCTGGTGTATAGGCATCACCATGTAACAATAAACTAAACTACCTCCTATTTAGAGTATTTTGTCGAAAAATGAACATTAAATACTATGGTTCTGGAAAACAAACAAAAGCACAACCCAACAGTATACGTCAAAACAAAGCACTTTGTCAGCAGACAGGACATTGTAATGAATATTGTTTAAAAAGGAAAATTAATTTATACACAGACGAACAACTGACGAATAGACAATATATATCTGCCCTAACTCACATACAAGAAGGCCCGTTGTGGCAGCGGATAGGACACCTACAGACGAACATGGCCACAGTGACAGGTGACAGACATAAATTCAACTCATAAAATGAGAATGTATCAGAATTCGAGTCTAACTGAGGGAATCCATTAATACGGTCAGAAGTGAGAACTGACATGATTTCTTTTAATGACCTCTCAAAACAATTGTACTCTCCTGGCAACTATACGCAAATGTTACCCTTCAACTTATAAGTATTGGAGAAAAAAAAAGTCCCTATCCCCTCATAAACTGATTAGAATTTTTTTTTTAACCAATCTGTATAAAATCTGAAAACAAATTCAGCCCGATAAACCCGCTGTGGAAAGAATTATTCAATTTCTATCTGAAAGCCACAAAAATAAACTGTCTGTAGCAAAAGTAAACCTTTTTCACCGACTTCCACAGAGAATCAAAACCCTCTCCTTTACAACAACTTACTTCTTCTGTGTCTGTTCGCTCCTGCATCTGCATCTTCAGCTCTGACTCTTTCATCTTAAGCTCTTTGTCCAGGCTGTTCGACTTGATCTCTTCAGATTCCTGATAAACAAATGGCTATATTGTAATGTGTTTAAGACACTTTCACAACTCTTCTCTCAAACTTTTGTATGAATCATTTCAGAAAAATGAGAGATGAAATAAAGCCTGTCTCCAAATACACTCCTTCTTTTTTTTTTTAAAGTAAAACTAAGTGTTCAGCAGCAAAAATCACTGAATTGTAAAGTGATCCATCACATTTTTATAAATTACAGGTAACTTGGGTATTTCAGGAGTAAACATTCAAATCTATTTGCAGTCTATCTCTTATTTCATTTGAAATTTAGGCGGGAAAAAAAAAAGAAATACAATAAAAGACAGAACTCCCCCTCTTGACTTCTTATGATCATGACCTTGAAAATAATCACGGTCATCTTAATTTTGATCAACATATTTCAGGTGGGTTAGAGCTATTCCCATCAAAAGATTTGCGGAAACACTTTAGGGGTATTCTCATTAATGAAGAAAGAAACACAAAAATAAAACAACATAAAGAAACCTTTCTATGATGGCAGAGGCAATACACAAACAAAAAGAGATGACTGTCTGTTACAAAATCTATTTATAAATATTTTTCAAAAACTCTCAAAGTGAAAGGAAATCTCTTCACATATGGAGAATACGGAGTAAAGTTAAGTACAAAAGTACTACACAACAGCTTGTACCAAGCAAACTAAGCAAAATCTATCATGCATGCACGGCTCAGGAGAAAGGAGAACTCGAAACAGCCCAACAACAGCAATTAGTCAATGGGATGATGCCTTTCCTTCAAAAAAGAAATTGAAAGAAAAGCTACCTTGTGCATTTGGTTTCTTTACCTGATATCTTTTCACTATGGCCTGGCACTCTAGTCGAATAACCTCCGTCTCCTCTCTCGCCTCCTTCAGTTTGGATGTGGTTTTCTCAAGGTTTCCTTTGGTTTCCTGTTGGTTAAAAAAAAAAAAAAGTAAGTTGCCTCAGTACAATCTCGTCGAGCAATCAGTGCTCGTTAAGAAAAACAGTTATCAAATGTCAACATTAAATCAAATTTAACAATAATTTTTGTAAGTGTTTTACTTTTTTGTTTTAGTAGAGGTTTTACGGCGCTCACAACTGCATAAGGTTATATGAGTACCAAGGGGTGGATGTCAACAGAGAAGTCCTTACAGGGAATCAGACTACTCAGCTCACCTCTCTAACTTCAACAGCACGAAGTCTGCTTCGACTATCTAGGCACCCCGGAAATAGCGGGTCACGGGAGTGTGAAAAACTACCAAAGAAGTAGAGGTAATGACGATAGTAAGATTTAAGAAAGAAAAAGCAGCAGTTCCCTGTTGCAGTTCAGGCACAGTTATAAGCATGACATTGATGAATCATCCCATATACAATTTCGATTCTTCTGTGCATAAGAACATGGTTAATGTCCCCCTTTGGGAATTTCAATGGCCTAAATAAACTTCAGTCAATAGCACCGTCCCGGGGGGGGGGGGGGGGGTAAGTGTTTTACTGCGCTCGCAACTGCATAAGGTCAAATGAGCCCGCGGGACACACCAAACATTTTCAATTGGTAGGAAATTGTGAACTTTGCATGGGTGGCGGCCGAAGCCTACTCTTATCGATTTTGGACTACAAAGGATCTTTAACATGCGCAACTTGCACACGGGATAACAATAATTGGAATATTGCCACACTCTAAAATGACAAAACAGGTGACTTACTACAAAAAGTACTACAAAATTCATTTTATTCATCCTTTTTTACATAAACAGCATAACAAGTCATAGGTGTTTTAGTTTTTGTAAGAGTTTTACAGCACTTGCAACACAATAAAGTCATATAAGTGTCGAAGATTAGAGGTGTTACAAGTGAGTAACAAACACAAAAAAGAAGGAGGGGATAAAGACGATAGACGTTTGATAGGAAAGAAGGAGCAAACCACACCAGAGCATCCGCCAACCACACACATATAGGTGTTTGCCCCTTTTAACACACTAAGGCTAATAAATACAAGGAACCACTGATTTAACATTCATCTCTGATAAAACAGCATCAAACAGAGACAGAGACACAAGAACTCAACAAATACTCCAAAATCCCCTCCAAAAAAACTAGCTGGGACCTTAAACCCGGGTCACCCATGCAACAATCCAGTAAGATATCAACTGAAACAAACCTACGATTACAAATTATACATCAGAATGACAGAGTCTTCCGCACTACCTGACCTACAGAGAAAAAAAAACCACCAAACAAACATGACAAATCTTAGTGGTGGGTAACCTTATGAGAATCCAGTTCATCCTTAAGCTTGTTCTGAAACCACTTGATCCTGTACTCTGCCGAGGATGTGGCTTCCTTCAACTTTTCCAGTTCTTTGAGAAGATTGCTCACCTCATGGCACTGCAGAAAAAACAAGTCAGCACATTAATGGCCACATTTCATAGGGAAATAGAGAAGGGTAAAAGAAAAAGAAGAGAAAGTAGTCTTTGAAACTCTAATCACCTTCGGTAACTGAATTTTCTTCTCTCTCTTTGTTTAGCACATTGACACAATAATGGTCACTAATTTAGTGCTGGATGAAAAGAAAATCACAACAGAGAAGCAAAAGGTGGATTTTTAAAAAGGAAGTGACCCTCAAGGAAAGAACCCTGAAAAGCTACCTGAAAAAAGTAGCTTCTCTTAAGTAACCACAGTATGTCGTTATATAGTTCAGCATATTTCTACAAACGAATGTTGAAATTAAACCCTTGGGCTTTAGTGATTCTGGTTATCACATCATGTTACAAACGCGCGTGCGCACGCACGCACACACACACACACGCACGCACGCACGCATGCACACACACACACACACACAAGAAAAAGAATATCATCATATATAAGCAAACCAACAACCTTCCAAATAAATGATTTGCTTTATTTCTCTGGCAGGGCACTTTTGTCCTTGAGAGTCATTCTCCGGCTTGCACCATTTCAAAATGTTTTTGGTTTTTTCTAAATACATAATATAACAACTTCCAACTCTTACTTTAGCATCATAGCTGCTCATTGCTTTCTGCCGGTCCGCTTTGGCAGTTTTGACAGCACCTGCCATGTTCTCTTTCTCACGGATGGCGTCCTTGATCTTGGTTTCCCACTTCTCCACCATCCTGCGAGACTCCAGTGTCTTGGCCTCCGCTTCGGCAAACCGAACCACCATCATGTCCTTCTCGCGCTGACAGTCCTCATACTGCTTGGTCACCTGGGCAAAGAGCAGAAGTGCAATCACAATGACATGCATAGGAACATAACACTAGGTAGAGAGAAGAGGGTCAAATCACCACAACAGTGTTTCAGTAACAGTTTTACACAACTTACAACAGAATCAGGTCATATAAGTACTGTTTTGTTTTAGTAAGAGTTTTATGGCACTTGCAACACAATAAGGTCATATAAGTGTGGGAGATTAGAGGTGTTACAAGAGAGTAACAAACACAAAAAAGGAGCAGGAGAGATAAGGACGATAGACGTTTGAGAGAAAAAAAGGAGCAAACCACACCAGAGCACCTGCCAACCACCTACTATATAAGAACTGAAGATTAGAGGTGTTACTAGTGTGTAATATACAAAGAAAAGAAGGGGGAGAGATAAGGACAATAGATGTCAGATAGGAAAAAAGGAGCAAACCACACGAGAGCACCTGCCAACCACCCACTCACTGTGACAATCATAAAAACATAACACTAAATAGAAAGAAGAGGAATGTAACATCCAATCTTTTCGCAAATTCAATTAGACTCTTGGCAAAAGCAAGTGGATACACATGTGCGAATTACAACCTGAACTCTTTTTCAATTCGACAAACAAATGTTCTTTTACAGTGAACCACTGCCCTCAACAAACTTTTCACACACCTGATCAACCCTTGCTTTTAGTTCATTCTGAAGAGTAGTTACAGCCCGCTTAGCAGCAGTATCATGAGACACCAGCTTCTCTTTTGTGGCTTTCAGCTCTGTTTGTAGCTGTGCAATTGTCTTTTCCATCTGTCATAAAACAACATGATTGCATGTAGATACAGGGTGAAGGGCAAAAAAGCAACTCAGACGCCAGATCTAAATCAAAAATACAACTTTAGCATCAAAGAAAGCAGAAAATGTCAGAATACCATCATCAAAATGACAAGTATATATGGGAACAATTTAAAATTTAATGCAAAATATGTATTTATTATGAATAACCATTATGCTGACACGATACAAAACCATAGGACTTTTCCATAAGTTTACATCCAATCCAGTCTTATTGCAGATTCATATTAAATTTTAAATTTCCCTCTCTAAAATATATCATTGTTGAAAGGAGTTTAAAACCCATAGCTTATACAATGCATATTTCATAGAAAAATTAATTTAAGCTAAATTTACAATCTATTATATCCTTGTGAACTTAGAAGGCAATACCTCGCTTAAAACTTGTGAAAAAACAAAACTATAAAGGAAATGAAAGTGCATAATTGCACTTGTTTTATGAGTACTTGGATCATCTGTATGTCATAGAAAATTCATAATTTCAACAAAAACAAAGAGAACTATCTTTTAAAACCACCAAAGAAGTTGGAAATTAAAAGCTGCTCCATTTTTAAAAAAGAGAGTTACAAAAGCAAATTGAAAATTGCATGACACCACTTGGCCTATGACATAATGCAAATAAAGCAACTCACAAGCAACAAAACGTATTATTTTGGAAAATTATGTCTGCATTCATCACAGAATGAGATATTTTGCAAACAGAAGACTTTGAGAGAACCCTTTGTCATGGCACCTTTTCATTTGACTTGAACTAGTTTTTTTCTGCTTAAAAAAACAGAACCGCATATAGAGAACATTTTGTACAGAGCAGAAAGGGTGGGAAAAGAGTTAAAATATCATACTCATCACTCAAAGTAAAGAAAACACTAGGCAAAGTGATTATTAAGGATTGGTTTTTTCCGCAAGAGCCATCACATCCAGAAACTAACCTCTTTGATTTGTGGCAGGTAAACATCGTCAGCATTATGGCCAGGAGAAGAAGACTGCTGACTCCGCATTTTGTCCCTCTCTGAAGTAACCATGGAAAGCTCTTCTCGACTAGTATTTCTTTCCTGAGTCAATCTGAACCACAATAAACACATATACAATGAGTCGTACTTCATTGGAAGACAGCATAATGCAGACAAAATGATGTCGCCCAAATTTTGGAAATTTTTGTGTTATTGCAGTTTCTTAATCGGTAATATCGGATGGAACATTTTGTCGAATTCAAATTCTAAATGTTGAAAAAAAAAAGCAAAAACAAAAAAAAGACATAATGATGATAATGTAGGTACAATTGTTAAAAGAATGAAACAGGTTTTTTTTTTCTCATTCCTGTAAAATTTTGCTTTGTAGGCTTAGTACATTTTAAACAGCTTGCCGACAATTTACAATTAGATGGGTTAGTCTTGTCTGGCAAATCTTTGTTATCGCTATGACTTACACAACTCTACAATAAATTGGTATATAGGTAGGCCCTTAAATCACGAGCATATAGTGGTAGGGATAGAAAAACTAGTTTGTCAAATTGCAACATGATCAGTAGGAATATGAAACCCAATGCGCCACAACCTAAACTGAAAAATCTTCTCTTAATTACCTGTTGATTTCAGCATCTCGAATCTTGAGCTGTTCCAAGAGCTGCCGATTATGAGTTTGTAGCTGTTTCAATTCAAAGGATGGCTGTACTCCATTTAACAGCTCTGGCGGACTTCTCTGAGGGGCACTTCTATGGACGGCCCCAGCCCCCTTGCTGATCTTTGGTCTTGAAATTGGTGACCGGGATAAAAGCGCTGCATCTAGCTGTGACAAGATATCATCGTCGTCATCTTCATCATCATCAATCTGCAAGGCGCGGGCCAGTTTGCGTTGATAAGAATCAGAATCAGAATCAGAACCAGTGGAAGGGGCCTGCCTCGATGGGGTGGGGGGATCAGATATGCCAGAACTAAGGTCTGACAAGGACGATGAGGCATTGGCTTTTGCGGAGGGGGACGGCGACTGTTGTTCCACTGCTCTGTCATTTTGAACATTCGAATCATGCTGGGATGTTTTCACACTGGCAGAAGTTTGACTATTCACTGGTGGTGCTGTTATGTTTTTCTCTGAAGCACTGGCAGGCTGTGATGACTTAAAGACAGTGCTGAGAGGAACATCCTCTCCATCAGCAGAGTTTCTGGCCTGAGGCATTGCACTGTTGATCTCACCTTGAGGTGCTACGGGGGAATCTGAGTGACTCTCCTGAATGGGCTCAGAAGGAGAAGTGTTGGGACAGCCTTTGAGAGAGGTCTCAGATCCTCCCTCGCCACTTGCAGAAGTAGCCTCCGGCCTCACCTCACCAGCAACATTCTCAGGGTGACATATCACAGCATGTGCATCCCCCGAGGGGAACGACTCTTGCTCTTCAGGGGGAGACTCCCTACTAAGTGAGTGCACTTCTGAACCCTCAGCCCCACCATTCTCACCCACACTTTGCACTTCACTCTCTGATAAACTTTGGTCCAGACCATTTGCTATATTGGAACTTTGTAGATCATGTGAATGCTGCTCTTCATGTGCTGATGCCGATATCGGAGCAGACACATTCTGATTCTCTGCCTGTCTGACTTCTGGTAGATCAGCATCTCCACGATCAGGGCTATCTTGCTGTGTCTGAACTTCACGATCACACTCTGGCACCTGAAGCTCTGGCTCACTATCTTCTTTGGCCAGATGTCCTCCAACATTACAGGCAGAGGAGCTCTCACTAGTCTCTCCTGCCCTCACATCACACAGCTGAGCCCCCTCTGCGGCTGGTTCAGCAACCTCAGCAGTAGGGTCGGCCACAACTGCGTCCTCTTCACAGGCTTCTACCACCATCTCTCCCCCGAGACCATCCAGCTCTGCCTCTGGAGCATCGTCTAAGTTGTTAACAACCTGAATATCACCACTGAATTGACGGGAGGAGCTTTCACTCTCTGCCAAAGCTTGACTCTGTTCCCGTCTATTTGCAACATTGTCTTCTGGTTCTTGATTGATCACAGCAATATCTCCCCCACCATTTGGCTGGTTGGCTTCAGCTTCCTCTGCTTCTACATGAGCAGGCGAAACATTTTGACTCGATTCGACACCGGTTTCATTCACAGCCAAAAGCAGCTGCCGATCACTTTCACTGCAGGAAACATCCCGTAGCCCCGTCTCACACTCGGGTGCCGCAAGCTCCTCATCCTGCTCAAAACTGTCCCCTTCCTCGGCTGTTGCACCAACATCACCCACCTCTGTGTCTCTGTCCTGCCCTGCAGCAGCACCCCCACCCACGACATCTCCCTCCATCCTGGAATTCTGCTCACTCACAGAGACACCCTCAGCATTTCCTCCATCCACACCTTGGACGTGCCCATTTCCTACCTCATCATTATTAATCCTCACCGGCTGCCGCCCATTACCCTCCCCAAAGTCAGCTGTCCCCTCAGCTGGTTGTGACAAAGCAGCATCTTCCTCTGGCCCATCTTCCTCTGCTTCCCCGGAAGCTTGGGCTCTCACATCCCTCTGTGGTTGCCACTGTGGCAGATCTGCTTCATCCTCAGGCTCTGGGTTCTCAGCCACAGCAGACGCTCCAGCCTCCTGCTCTGTCCAGCTCATGCTACATCTGCCACAGACAAAAAAATGTAAGTTTTTGTTAAGCTTTGACGGTTTTTTGGTAAGAGTTTTACGGCACTTGCAACACAATTAGGTCATACAAGTGTCGAAGAATAAAGGTGATACAAGAGAGTAACAAATACAAAAAGGTGAGGAAAGAAAACGACCATAGGTGCTTGATAGGAAAGTTCACTACACCAGAGCATCCATCAATACCCACGAGTTTAGTTCGAATTTTAGTTTTAGTTGAGGTTTTGCCGCGCTCGCAATTGCATAAGGTCATATGAGCACCAAGGGGTAGATGTCAACAGAGAAGTCCTTACAAGGAATCAGACTTACTCTGCTTAGCTCTCTAGCTTCAACTTCAACAGCACAAAGTCTGCTTCGACTATCAAGGCACCCCGGAAATAGCGGGTAACAAGTGCGTGACCAAAATACAAAAGAAGTAGAGGAAAATGACGATAGTAAGGATTAAAAAAGAAAAAGCAGCAGTTCCCTGTTGTAGTTCAGGCACAGTTATGAGCATGACACTGTTGGATCAGCCCATTTAAAATTCTACTGTACATTAGAAGTCCCCCATTTGGGAATGGCCTAAAGACACTTCAGTCAGTGGCACCGCCCTGGGGGGGGGGGGTGGGGTGGGGGGGGGTTAGTTCGAATTTACAATAAAAATGAACACCTCAACTCGATAATGGTTATTTAGCATCAAGAAAACGCTAGAAAGACTGATAAATAGAAATAACAGAACAACAATCCATATACATAGGACCTATACATCTGCCCTCCAAATTTGCAACAGTTACAGTCTCTTGAGTAGAGTTGTACGTGAAGCAGTTCAAAGTGAGCCAAAAAAAAAAAACAGATTCAAAGCCACACAGAGAATGCCAAACTAATAACTTTTACCAAAAGAACCTTGGAACCGACCATAAAAGCATTCTTGAAATACTTAGAATGAGTTTCACCCATCCGTGTGATAATTATGTGTGCATGAATGAAAACCACACAGAATAATACTAAGCTCTACAGTTGAAATCATTCTGTTATCAATACAACATACATACAGTGACAGGTTATAATTAATTATAGTACTTATATAAGACATCGAACAATTATTAAACTTTTTTCATTCTAATTAGTATTAAGTACTCCACTTTCAAAAAAGAATTCAACAGGCCTGTGAGCCCCATACAGTAGTAGACCATGTTCTGTTCTAAATAATAATCGTTAGAGCCATAAACTGGGTTAAATTCTACACAACACATCACGTAGCGTCAAGCCTGTGACCTGCATAAAAATAAATCTTACTGAATTACAAACAATTTCCAGCCGCCACCCTCAATCAAACAGTACACAGATAAAAATAGCTGCATAGATATATATATATATATATATATATATATATATATATATATATATATATATATATATATATATATATATATATATATATATATATATATTATAGATATATATAGATATACAGTCGAACCTGCCCTGACGGCCACCTCTATAAGACGGCCACCTGTACAAACGGCCACTTTCCATTCACCCCTTTCGTTTTTCCTATATAATTTAACTGTGTAAAACGGGCACCTGTCCAACGCGGCCGCGGCCACCATAATTTAACACACAACCCCTATCATACTAAGCAATAATACCTGTCTAAGACGGTCACCTTAGTGACTCCATTCCGTTTTGTCATAAATTGTGCATTGGCCCCTGGCGTTGTGGGCGAGCCGTCATAATTCAATCACCTGTCGTTGTTGTTGGGTAGTCCCTCCAACCGATCATGTTGCGTAGACCCCTCCCCCTGTTGACCAATAGCTACCAATTTTCAGCTGCTGGTGAGGTAAGCGTGTGATCCCTCATAACCCATAAGCCCCGCCCAGAATTCATACACAAATCGTAAGTGAGATGAGTGGTCACTGTTTACCTAGTCTGAAACAAAGTAACAATGGACGTCAACATGAACTTGTTACAGAAGCGTTGCTCGTTCTCCGACCCATGTGTTTGTTTTAACATGGCACTCGGTCTTACTTGTCTTATACATTTCGTTTTATTGTCACCCTTTTGCAAAATCAGCGACAAAATAAAAATTACAAACGAAATACAAACCAACAACAACAACACCAACAAAGACAACATAATGGGGCTACTTTCGATTGGGGCCTCAGATGGGAATGGTTTGTTTTCTTTATCTTGATCAGTCCTGCCTAAGACGGCCACCTGTCTTATACGGCCACTTTTCTCCTTGACAATGGGTGGCCGTCTTACATAGGTTTGACTGTATATATATATATATATATATAGATATATATATATAGATATATATATATATAGATATATATATATATATAGATATATATATATAGATATATAGATAGATAGATGAATATATAGATATATATATATTATATAGTATTATTATGATCTAACATCTCTCACTTGGTGTTAGGAGCATAACTCAGTATTCTTAATTAGTTACAGTTAACACCAGAATACAGTACAATACAGAGTCGACCAGACGTAATCAACATTTTTTTTGGTAAGTGTTTTACGGCGCTCACAACTGCATAAGGTCATGAGCGCACAAGACACACCAAACATTTTCAATTGGTAGGAAATTCTGAATTTTGCCTGGGTGATGGCCTAAGAGTACTGCACTCTTATCGATTTTGGACCCCCAAGGGATCTTTAATGTGCTCAACTTGCACAAGGGACCTCCAGAGATTTTTCGCCCTTGTCCGAGAAGGCTAGGTGTAGATCTTTCCTACCAGAAGATCAGGGGTGTGGCTGAAAGACAGCAGTAAGAAGGAGCCAAGGAGTAGCAGTAGAAAGGCTGCAGAAAGAGTCAGGAGCCCAGTGGACGGGGAAAAGGAGGTGAGGGTGTGGGGAAAGAAAGTGGAGACGAAAGCAGACGACAGAATATGGCAAGAGAGAAGGAAAGAAGGTGAAGGGAGACAATTATAGAGACGAAAATTTTCCTATCGCTACCGGGATTTGAACCCGGGACCTTTGAATGAGAGGCAAACACCTTAACCTCTAGGCCACGAGGGCCCCCGTTATCAACATTGGTGATAGAATATTTGAAATTATATGAAAATATTCCAAATAAGCAAAGCTGGGTTGGTGGTGGGGGGGAATGTGGAGCCCTGTAGCCTGGTGCAGGACACATCGAATAATATAATCAATCCATACTGGAGGATATTTGTGACAGATACAACTGTCGCACAATGGTAACATCTGGGCCAGTGTCTGTACAATTCACAGTGAAAGCATAACTCCTGTCTACACATACACAGAGCACGGCTCTTTTCATTCAAGCCCACAATTAATTTTTCTCCACTTATCTGGAACAAAAAGTCAGAGCATGCGGACATTTGTGCATGCATTCACACACATCCCATACCCTCACACACACACACATACACACATATATATATACACAAACACACATATATATACACAAACACACACACATACAAACACACACATAACGGGGACACACATTTAACGCAAACACACACATGTAAATCACACTCACACATATATATGCACACATATATATATATTACAGTACCATGTGAACAAAAAGAGAATTTAAGTTGATGTTGCCTCTCTTGTTGCAGATTTAGTCTGTCAACACGAATATAGCCACATTTCCGATAGAAAGATGAAAGAAACAGTTGAAAATAAGTTTGAAAAAGCCACCCACCACATTTTGCCCACAAGCAATCAAGAATGAGGAAATCCACAAACAAGTATAGTCATTCAGAAAAGTTAATTAAGCAGCCATGTCAAAATAAAGAACAAAGGAGAGAAATGACACTAGTACATGCATATTATTAGTCTCCAACAAACTTTAAATGGAGGTCCCATTTAGTCTTGTCTTGTGAGAGAGAGACAAATACAAACAAATTATGGATTTAGAATTAAAATGAGAGAAAAGGGGGTGGGGGGAGGGAGAGAGAGAGAGAGAGAGAGAGAGAGAGAGAGAGAGAGAGAGAGAGAGAGAGAGAGAGTGAGAGAGAGAGAGAGAGAGAGAGAGAGAGAGAGAGAGAGAGAGGGGGGGGAGGCAGGGAGTGAAGGAGGGACAGACAGACAGACAGACAAACAGACAAACAGACAGACAGACAGACAGACAGACAGACAGACAAAGGGGGCTCTCGTGGCCTAGAGGTTAAGGAGTTGGCCTCTCATTTAAAGGTCCCGGGTTCGAATCCGGGTAGCGACCGAAAAATTTTCTTCTCTAAAATTGTCTCCTTTCACCTCCTTTCCTGCTCTCTAGCAATGTTCTGTTGTCTGCTTTCATTTTCACTTTCTGCCCCCACCCCCTCACCTCCTTTGCCCCCTCCTCTGGGCTCCTGACTCTTTCTGCAGCCTTTCTACTGCTACTCCTTGGCTCCTCCTTACTGCTGTCTTTCTGCCACACCCCTGATCTTCTGGTAGGAAAGATCTACACCTAGCCTTCTCGGACAAGGGCGAAAAATCTTGGAGGGCCCGTGTGCAAGTTGCACACGTTAAAGATCCCTTGGTGGTCTAAAATCGATAAGAGTAGGCTTCGGCTGCCACCCGGGCAAAATTCAAAATTTCCTACCAACTGAAAATATTAGGTGTGTCCCGCGCACTCATATGACCTATATGCAGTTGCGAGCACTGTAAAACACTTTACAAAAACAAAAAAAGACAGACAGACAGACAGACAGACAGGCAGGCAGACAGACAGACAGACAGACAGACAGACAGACAGACAGACAGACAGACAGACAGGCAGGCAGGCAGGCAGGCAGGCAGGCAGGCAGGCAGGCAGGCAGGCAGGCAGGCAGGCAGACAGATGCAGGCAGGCAGGCAGGCAGGCAGACAGATGCAGGCAGGCAGGCAGGCAGGCAGGCAGGCAGGCAGGCAGGCAGGCAGGCAGGCAGGCAGACAGACAGACAGACAGACAGACAGTTCCATAGTAAGTCAGAAGAGGGTCTGTGTGTCTTAAAAATTTTTAAAGGACACAATAAA